TTTTGCATGGCTTGGTGGACCCAGATGCTTTTTTGCCACAGCAAATTAAGTGTTTTGATTCTTAGGAGAGAAGCAAATGTTCATGTAGTCAATTTTTTTCTTATTTACTTTTTGCTTTGTTTTCTTATTTCAGTCACGATGAGTTGAATATGATCATGATTTTCCAGTTAAGCTGCTTGCAACTCTAAAATTTTATTAGTCCCCCTTTGGCCTTTCAGCACTAAATCAAACGCAGATAATCATCACTTGTGTGAATAAAGTGTTTTTATTGAGAACAGAATTGTTCATATACACACGAATGTGGATATTATCTACTTAGCACAATATGTCATTGTTTCAAAATGTAAAATCTGCTTTAGGCTGAACAAAGAATGGTTCTTGACACTATTTTCCCTTTGTGATCAATTAAAAAAACCCAGTGCTTTCTATCTCATGGGTAGATAATTAAAATAATTACATACCTGATCTTCATTTTATGTTCTCTCTCTTCAAGATATTTCCTTCAAAACTACTTTGACTGATTAGTCTCTTTTGGATTACGTTAGACTCTGTATTTTCTTCACAAGCTCATCAGGGTAAATCCTGCCTTTACATTTGTTATAAAAATTCTCTTTTTTTTTTCAAATCATATTTGAGCTGAAAGCTCTCCACAAAATGTCTCCTATGCCACAAAGCGTTATTTTACTGATCTCTCCTGTCCTCCTTGCTCAAGCTCATTTAGGAATTGTTTTAATGAAAATATTCAAGCAGTACTTTTTTTAAAAAAGTATGAACATATAGTATTTTCAATTTGAACACAAAACACTGCTCTACTTGAAAACAAGTTTTAGAAACATTAAATATTTCTAGAAAGAGAATCAACAGTGTCATAAATATCATAATTCAATTTTCCTGTTTGTACTAAAACATTAGCAAATATTTACTGAGAAATTGCTATCTGCCTGAAAGTATAATGCTTTTGATACACGTTATATCATAAAAACTAGGTACTATTATTAGTAGTATTTTAAGAGTAAAAATACCGAGTCTTAGAGATGTTAAGCAATGTGTACAAATAGCATAGGGAAAGTTGGAGTTCTGAAATTCTGACTATGCTGTATGTATGATAGGAGAATCAATTCTTGTCTTATGTAACTGTCAAGTCATTGTGGGGATTCGGAGGTCTCTGATTGCTAGGGTCAGTACACTTAAATCATGTCACAACTTAGTTAAATCTATTTCATTAAAGCAAAATTCCATGTATAATTTCACAAAGATTATTGGCACCAAGAACACTATTTTTTGTTCCTTCTTTCCTTTCTTTCTCCTTCCTTCCTTCCTTCCTTCCTTCCTTCCTTCCTTCCTTCCTTCCTTCCTTTCTTCCTTTCTTCCCTCCTTCCTTCCTGCTTTCTTGCTTTCTTTCTCTTATTCTTTTGTTCTCTTTCTCTTTCTTTCTTTGAGACAGGGTCTCAATCTGTTGCCCGAGCTGGAGTGCAGTGGCACAATCATGGTGCACTGCAGCCCCAGCTTCCCCAGGCTTACATGATCCTCCCACCTCATCCTCCTGAGTACCTGGGACTACAGGCAAGCCACCACACCTGGCTTTTTTTTTTTTTTTTTCAAGATTGGGTTTCACCATACTGCTGAACCTGGTCTGCAACTCCTCAGCTCAAACAATCCACCTGCCTTTGCCTCCCAAAGTATTGGGATTCCAGATGTAAGCCACATGACTGGCAAATAATATTATTCAATAAGTTCAATTTAACTATTAGATTTTGGACAATGAGAGATAGAATTTTCTATATCATAATTCATCTTGTGTTCTTATTTGAAGTAATATATAAGGATTTCAATTCAAATATATTTATTAGCAAATTAAATTTCTTTTTCAGGATTCCAAACTTTTGTTCAAGACGTAAATGCTAAATGATGTCACTAATTTTAATTAGATTAACAGAAAGGTATTCTGGTGTTTAATAACAGTGACAGAATGGGCTATTGATTTTATTTTCTTTCCCTTTGTCTCTTTCCCCTTTTTAAAATATTTTACTTTTTAGGCTCTTTGGAATCCTGTAGATAGAGTTTTGAGAATTAAACAAAACAGTTCACAGAAACTGCCAACCCTAGGATGAAATATATTGTTACTGTACTTTGGGATTAAAATAAGGAACTACAGTTTACGGAACTTTTATACTGATGCAGAGACACTAAAAAGGGAAAGGGTTTGGATGAGAAGTTCTGCTATGCAATCAAGAATCTCAGCCACTCATTTCTGTAGGAGTTGCAGGAGCTCCCTGTAAAGAGAGGTTAGGGAGAATGTAGCTTCAGGGTTTCTCCATTTTTCCCAGAGGTTCCCCCAAAAGGTCATGACACTTTATAAGAATGCTTCACTTGTGAAAAACAAATATCAAAGTCTTCTTGTAAATTATATTTAAGGACAAATCTTCATTCCATGTTTAATTTATTTAGCTTACTCTGTAGCTAATATTTCATGCTGAAAACATTTTAAATGCTGTAAATGTAGATAATATAATTTATGGATCATTAATGCTTCTTTAGTAGTTCAGAGAAAACTTCAAAAGAAATGGCCCCAGAATAAGCTTCTTGATTTGTAAAATTCCATGTCATTGACTTGGTTTGTATAGCATCTCAAAATATAATATAGACATCTCAGATAATATATTTGAAATACCAAATTCTTCTTAGAAAAGAATAGTACTTAACTAGATAGGAATAACAGGTCGCCATTATTTGAATTGTCTCCTATTAATTTTTGTTTTGTTTTGTTACTCATGTTTTATTTATGGGGGATAAATATAACTTCCGCTGTTTTCAGAATTATTGTATGCAGTTATTATGAGAATGCAATTTAAGTTTCCTTGATGCATTTTCACACTTCTATTACTAGAAATAATACGGTAATATTGGCAAAGAAAAGTGACCATTCAATAAAATTTTTCCAGTAAATCTGATTTAAAATAAACATTGCCTATGGCTTTCTTACATCAATATTGTTATGTCCTAGACTACTTTATCTGAAATTAAGGCTTTGAAATTCTAATTATGTGCAAATGTGTAAAATATCATCACCTAAAGCTATATAACATGTTCTATTTCTATACTGTGATTGCAGGTTTATAATTCTGGAAAGATATACAGAACATAAGATTTACCTTTTTAATCACTTTAAGTGCACAGTTTTGTGGCATTAAGTATATTTGCACTGTTGTGCAACAGTCACCACCATAGACCTCCAAAACTTGTCTTCTTCTCCAACTAAAACTCAGTACTCATTGACCACCAACTTCCCATTCCTCTCCCTCCCCCTCCCCATAGCAATCACCATTCTACTTTCTGTCTCTACAAATTTCACTAAGTAACTCACAGACATGGCAAGATATAGAATGTTTGAATTTCTCGAACTGGCTTATTTCACTTGGCATATCTTCAAGTTTCATCTATTTCATAGCATGTTCAGAATATATTTTAAGGCTGAATATTATGATGTTGCCGTATATACCACTTTTTTAAACTACTCATCCATTAATATTCACATGGGCTGCTCTCTCCCTTTGATTATTGTGGATAATATTGCTCATGGACACGCTGCACAAACATGTGTTTGGTCCCTGCGCTTATTTATTTTGGATCTGGATTTGCATTTTAATACAAAGGAGAAATTACACAGCTTTTTAAGAGTGTCCAAATGAAAAGGAGCACAACATCAGTAAAATATTAGAAAGTAGATTATGGAAAAAATAGGGAGAGAATTGAACCAAAATTTAATAAGCAGTGTAAGAGAGTTTCAAGAGGAGGGAAAAAATTGACAATATAAACATAGAATTAAATAGCGAAAGGTCGATATTTAGAAAATTGTCACATGTACCCATATGTCGCCTGTGAGCTGATATTTACATTATTGTTTTATTCCAGGTTTCCAAAAGTAAGTGCAATGTGAGAGTTTCATGATGCTAAATAACTGAAACATGATACATATTTTGATGTATTGTCCTTGAGAGCAGGCTGGTGGTAATTAGTGCAATTTTAAATTATGATATGATAGTGGAGTCAATCTGCCAAACTGAAAAAAAAAGTATATATACAATATGTATATGTTTCTCAAAACCCAGTTGTATCATACAATTAAATTATGATTTAAAGCTACCTGACAATTACCAGAGGAAAAAATAAAACATTTACATTAATATTACCATAATTTTGATATTATTGCAAATATCAAAGCATGTAGTACTTAGGGATAAACCTACAAAAAAGAGAAACATTTGAAAACTACGAAACTACAAAACATTGTTACAATAAATAAGAGACCTCAATCAATGGAATGTATGAGTCATAAATCTCAATATGGTTAAAATGTCTACTCCTCCCACATTGATCTATAACAATTCCAATCAAATCACAGCTGTATTCCTTATTTTAGAAATTGGGAAACTAAAATTCTGAAATGTATGTCAATGGGTAGAGGACCTATAAAGGCAAATTACTTTGAAAGGAAACAATTACTTTGAAACCAGGTGCTGCTGGAGAATTAACAGCGCCTGGTTTCAAGACTTATCAAGTTACAGTACTTAAGACGATGTAGTGCAAATGTAGATATACACATGTATATCAGCTTTCAGCTAATTTTTAATAAAGTTCTTAGAGCATTCATGGACATAACATTTTCAACAAATGCTTCTGAAACAATTAGATATCCCAGTGTATATCTGTGTGTGTGTGTGTGTATTTGTGTGTGTGTGTGTGTGTAGCTCAGTACTTCACACCTGAGAGGTATGAGCGTGCATTACTAAGGGGAACTGGGAAGCTTTGAGAGTACTGGATATGCTCACTGAGCCCTTCATGGTGATTGTTTAATGGGCACATGTATATATCAAATTCATCTCATTACACTTTAAATATTGGTAGTGTGTTTTATGTTCATTAGACATGAATAAAGCTGTAAATGTTATCAAAATATTCACTTACTATGCTTTTATTCATTTTACTCTCTCTCTCCACAGACCTTCAGATAGAAAATGCAGTTGAAAGATATTTCATAAAGGAAGAAAAGAAGTATGAATACAGGTGAGAGATAGTACTCAGATTTTTTTTTTCAGTGCAATCCTGGTCTTTTGTGACTAGCAATATTTTTATGTGCAGAAGTAGTAGAAAAGATAAATGTTTTGTACAGTAGAGAAACGCATACTTTCTGTGCCATGGAAGAGATAACTCACAAAGATGACAGCTTCTGACTATGTTGGATACTAACCAGTATTGTAACTAACCAACGATCTGACCTTAACGTTGGCTGTAAAGCTACTTTAATGTTCCTTGCAATGATTTGAACCTATTACTGGAATCCTCATTGCTTACTGAGTTGAATAATACTGTTGATATGTGTTTATCTTATATTTGCACTAGAGTCATAATTTCACTTCTTAGAAAATTAAAATTAAACAACACTTGAAATTATATATTTTTAATGTTTCAACTGTGATATCACTCCACATGCATCTTTAAATTCTTATTTGATAAAGGATAGCAAATACAGAAAGAATTCTTGTGATAATAGAGAACACAGAACTGTTGAAAGGTGTCGAAGTTGAGCTGGAGAGAGTCACCAAAGCTGGTGCGGAAGCTGGCAAGGTCGGAGAGTTTCCTGCCTGGGCATAGCTTGAGCTCGCTCCGGTGCCTCCACCAGTGGCAGAAACTGCAGACCCAGCTGGGCCCTGAGGCCTCCGCCCCAGCCTCCCGCCCGCCAGGAGCTGTGCTGAGGTCGCAGATAGGCGACCCTGGAGGGGCGCGCCTGAGGGAAGGCGGCCCATGTTCCGGACAGCAGCAGGACACCAGGGTCCAGGGACCCACCTCCCGCTGCGGGAACCCCAAGCCTTGCCTGGCGCTCCTCGCTTGGTCTGCCTGGCCTCCAGAGGCTGGCGTGTGTCCTGGTCATGAGGATGCACAGCAGGTGGCCGGGAGTCCCCCTCCGCCATGGCCTAGGCTCTGCCAGCCATTACGCCTGGTTCTCGGACCACAGCCCCGCTGCCTCTGATCCCGCCAGGCCGGGACCTGTCCTCCTCCTGGGCGACCAGCAGGGGGGATGCACACTGCCCGGTGCGCTGCACAGCCCCTGACCGCCCATCCCCTCTGGCGCCTCCACCCCAGGCCAGGACCTTCCTGTAGCACAGAACCCACCTTCCTTCCCGCCGCAGAGCTGCTCCGCTTCCGCCACCCACAGGGAAAAACGCGGATCTCCAAACACACAGAAATCCGCGTGTGACTCCTCTGGTTGGATACTGCCAGTCCCCACATTTACTTCCAGGAGTTTTCTTGGCAGAAGGTGTCCCATGTTTGATGTTTCACCAGCGATGAGGCTGAAAAGTGACAGCAATAGAGAAACACATCAGGCTTTCCGCAACAAAGATGACCTTCCCTTCTTCAAATCTCAGCAATCTCCAAGGCCCACAAAGGACTCAGGACAAGATGACTGAGCTGGAGTACTCGGCCCAGGAAATGCAGGCCCAGAGCGGGTCACCTCCTTAGGGCAGGCCCAGGCTTGTCCTGGCTGCCCGGGTGCTTTTCTCCTCACTCCCACCCAATGCAGGGGACCCCACAAACTCAGCTGTAGGGGCTCCCTGCACCTCCCTCCACAGGAACCACCTCCTGCCCGCCAAGCTGGGGCCTTCTGGGACGTCCTGGGCTGAGAGGGCAAGGTGCCAGCTCTGCACGCTGAGGAAGGAACACCGCTACACTGTCACACTGACACACCGCCACACGAAGACACTACCACAGGGGCAAACCACTACATGGCCACATGGACAAACAGACACACAGACACATGGAGATATCACCATACGGACACACAGACACACCACCACACTGTCACATGTACAGACACACGGAGACATTATGACGCGGACACACTGCCACACTGTCACATGGACGGACAGACAGACACACGGAGAAGTCACCACACGGGCACAGCACCACACTGTCACACGGACACAGACACATGGAGACATCACCATAAGGACACATGACCACATACCACAGGGACACACAGACACACAGAGACATCACCACACTGTCGCAGGGACACACCATCACTCTCACACGAACAGACACACAGCCACATGGACACTGCCACACGCACACAGACACACTGCCACACTGTGACATGGACACACCTCCACACTGTCAGACACCACCACACAGACACTGCCACATGGACACAAGGACACACAGACACATTGTCACATGGATACATAAACACACTGTCACACGGAGACATCACCACACAGATATATGAACACACCACGACATGGACACAGCACCACACAGACACTCTGCCACACGGACACACCACCACAGAGAAATGCGGACACACTGCCACACAGACACACCACCACGCTGCCACAAGGTCACACCACCACATCGTTGCCACACTTTCATGTGTCACCTGGCTGTGTGGGCCCCACGACTCTGGGCTCTAATAGAGAAATTACTTAGGCAGATAGTGAAGGCAAAAGAATTTCCATCTCCTGTGTCATTGCTTTGGCAGTGGAAACGCGCGTGGCCTCTAAAGTGTGGGTCCCAAGGTCATGAGGGACTGTGAGGTGGAGGGCCAGGTCGCTCTTTCCAGTCTGGAATGGAGGCAGGAAGGGGGAGGCGGGGAGCCTCATGTCTGCATGTCCTCCCGGCAGCAGGCCCCTGAGGACTTTTATCCTCCTGAGCCACGGGGGTCCCTCTAAGGTGTCTAAAGCGTCGAGTGGGGCAGGGAGACCCTTATAGGCCTTAGGAGCTCTGGCCAATTAGTGGTCAGTGAAACGCAGAGGTGAACACCATAGAACCACAGGTCCAGGAGAATTTTCGCAAAAGCTCTGAGGATGCTCTTTTTTGTTCTCCCACTGCAAAATTCTTTTAAAAAGGAAAAAATCCAGCAACGTCCGGAGAAAGTCAATACTGAGCGTCAGCGCGGGATGCTGTGGCTGATGTGATCCCGGTGTCCTGGCCGAAAGTGGCCTCGGGGACCGCATCTCCGTGCACCATGGCAGCAAACGCCATCGGTTTGTGGGCGGATGGCGTCCGTGCGGCCATACTCTCTCCTGAGCGGGGAAGGACAGACAAGACCGGGGACCTCTGGGTGTTCCTGGTGTCCGCCAGCTTGATGCCCTTACTCCTCCTTGAAGTCCCAGATTTGCAGAAGCACCTGGTTCCTGATGGAGGCCTTGGGCCTCTTGGTCCTGGCTTACCAGGCAGCAGCGCCAGCCGTTCTCAGCCCCGCCTCCTTCCATCAGACCAAAGACTTTCTGAAACTGCCCTTCTTGGGGCCTGGAGGCAGCATCCTGGGCCTCCCTTGGGCCTGCAGCGCTGGCAGCAGCTCCACCTTGAGGTCGCCTTCAGCCCGCAGCGCGGCGCGCTGGAGGTCCCTGAGCCCAGCGTGTGGAGTCCAATCCACAGGTGCCGGTCCCCGGGTGCCTGCCGCAGTCTCAAAACACCTGGAGGTGACATCCAGGAGCGCCACCGCGCCACCAGCAGGGAGACACAGGGCGAGGCGAGCCCCTTAAGGCGGCCGGGGAAGAAGCAGAAGGCCAGGAAGGCTCCCCAGAGCTGATGTGATCTCAGGCCGCGCGCCCTGACCGAGTTCCTGGTCTCCGGCAGGTCTTGCCAAAGACGTTCTGGGCTTTCTGGGCGATGTCCAGCATGAGCTGGAGCTTCTGGAAGGCGGTCAAATGGCCCTTTGGAGATTCCACGGCTTCGGATCCCTACTGCAGGATGCTCCACTGTGTCCGCCAGCCTCTGTTGTTTTGCTGCGGAGTAACCTCGGAATGACTAGAAATAAGAACACTGGGGTGACCCAGTCGTGCCCCAGGCATTTCTGCACATGGTCACGGCAAAGGCAGGCGCGCAGACAGAGTGTCCAGTCGGCTTGGTGAGAGTTCTTTATGGTTTAGTGAGAGACTTGGTCCCATGCTTGTGTCCTCTCATGTTTTCAGTTAACCTGAGGTCCCCCAGGGGCTCCTCTATCTCCACCCTGTTCTCCTCGGGCTGAAGCACAAAGTCCCCCATTTTCTCCTCAAAGGGCTCACAGAGCCACTTCTGCAGGCAGGAGGACAGCGCCTGGGCTCAGTGGCTGACCTGGGAAGCCACATCTGAAGGAACTGCTGGGTGACTACGGCCATAAGTCAATCAAAGTAGACTTTCCCTGGCTTGCTGCGCTATATCGATTTTGTTTTCGTGGAAGAAGGGCGGTCCTAGGAAATGTGCCCAATGCAGATGCTGACAAGAGTGATGACATGAAAAAGATTACCCGGAAGGAAAACAAGAGCTGTTTTCTAAACATCTGAAATCTGTGTAGGCTTTTGGAAAAGTGAAACTAGATTCAAAGCACAATGATATAATTCTGGCAATTTCCACTGACACAGAACTCAATCTGAATTCCTCTAAGGATTATAAGGAAAATGTCGTTTCCTTATAATCCTTATGTGTGCCAAGAGGCACATATAAGATCACTCAGCTGCTGTGAAATAGGCTTACAGGCAACATGGAGTGTCAATTATCCACTATTTAAAGTCAGTGATACAGATTGGACTACTATCTCTATGGCTCATAAAGTCTTCTTTAAAGGACTGACAGATGATTTATCTCATATGCAGACGATGATTCTCAGCAGTTAACAGCGCAACTTGATAATATCAATTGCTTGAGAAAATCAGATAATTGCTTGAGAAAATTAGGACATTGCTTGAGGAAATTAGGTAATTAAATAAATTACTTTTTTTAAAGAATAGTGTAATAGCTTGGCAAGTAGACTTTAAAATAGGTTGGTAATATTTTACAGGCTACTTTTTAACAAGTGGCAATATAACATGATTAACTATGAAAAATAATAATGTTGGAAACAATTCAATTTTCTATCACAGGTAATTTCACAAATACAGAAATACCATCTCAATAATTAGAAGAAGTAGCAGCAATTTCTGTCATTTTCATGCAAGTTTCTCCTAGTCCATTTATTTGGTTTTAAATAGTGTTTTTAAAATTTGTTTTCAGACAGGGCTAATAATAAATAATAGAATATATTTTACAACAGTTGAAGGTAACAAAAGGTAGGTGCCATTTAAAAAATTGTAGTTGGTTGTTTAAAAATATTGTGGGTACATAGTATGTGTATGTATCTGTGGGGTCCATGAGATGTTGGGATATAGCCTGCAATGTGAAATAAGCACATCATGGGGAATGGGGTATCCCTCCCCTCAAGCATTTATCCTTCAAGTTATAAAATATTCAATTACAGTCTTAGTTATTTCGAAATGTACAATTAAATTTTTATTGAATAAAGTCAACCTATTGTGCTATCTTAATAGGTCTTATTAACTCTCTATTTTTATACCCGTTGACCATCCCCCCCCCTTCCTACCAACAGCCCCAACTACCCTTCCAAGCCTCTGATAACCTTATACTCTCTATGTTTTGAGTCTGTTTTGATTTTAGATTCCACAAATAAGTGAGAACATGTGACATTTGTCTTTCTGTGCCTGGCTTGTTTCACTTAACATAATGATCTATAATGTTCCATCAATGGTACTGAGAATGACTGGAACTTATTCTTTGTTATGACTGAATAGTCCTCCATTGTATATATGTACTACATTTTCTTTATCCATTCCTCTGTT